GCCCGGCTCGCAGGAGAGGCAGGCCCGGGACCCGGCCGCGACAGGAATTACCTGCGTCTGCGTCAGTCCCAGCGAGGCCGCCAGCTCGGCGCGTTCTGGCAGGGCGAGGTACTGAGTCTTCTGAAACCTTCTCTGTAATGCAGCCAGCTGAAAGCTGGAATAAATAGTCCTGGGTTTACGAACTTTCTTTGGTTTGCCATTCACCATCCTCACCTCCGGCTCGGCCACTTCTTTTTCTAAACAATCGAAACACACTAGGTTAGAGCTTGTGGGCAGGCAATAGCCCTTTTGCAGAAGGGCCTCAGATACAGTCCTGAACCTTCTGTTTCTGACTTAAAACAAAACAAAACAAAACAAACCACACCGTCTTTACTGTTGTTCCCTATACTGCCAATGTAGCTTTTCAAAACCCAGAGCAATATGCCCCTCCCCAAATCATGGAAGAGACAGCTATTCTCTAATTAACTCTTACTCTCTTCATTCAGGTTGATTTTTGCCAAGCGCTCCTTGCAGCACAGCTTCTTAGCCTGTGGGTTTCAGCTCTTTGGGCCGTTTCTGCTATTACCAGGCTTGATTTTAAGCCCACCCCGTGTCCCCCTGTGTTTCTGGAGGGAGAACGGCCAGGTCCTCCCAGGCCGTGACCCCGCTTCTGTTGGCGTCTGCTCGGGCGCCTGCAGAGGCCAGACGCACGGGCAGGGAAGAAGCTAACCGAGGTCTCCAAAGTTCAAAGACCCACAAGCAAACTGTGCTTCTTCACTTCAGCAGCAAGCGGTCGGGGCTGCAGCAGACAGAGGGCCGATTATGCAGCCCCCATAATCTCGCTGCAGATCTGCGAGGGCACAGATGTGTCTGGTTTCTTTTACAAATAGACTTAGTATGTTCTCGGCCAAAAAAAAAAATCTTCCACTTATGCACGGAATAGAGAGACAGTGAAAGGAACGGGGCTCTCTTTTAAATAAGTTTAGCAAGGAAATAATAATAATAATAATAATAATAATAATAATAATAAGCAAGACATTTTCGCAGCAAAAGGGAGGCAGATCCGGATACGTTTCTCCGTCATGAATGTAGATGGTGGTGGGGTTGGGGGAGACTTTCCAAAGGAGAGTTTTATAAATATGCCCCGAGGCCACAAGCCCTCTTCCCAAAGAGTATTATATCTCTGAAAGGGTGGAGGGTCTCTCCGTGGTTGGTGCATGCAAGTGTGTGTGTGTGTGTGTGTGTGTGTGTCTTGGGGAAGGAATGGTGGGGGGTGAGGTCTGTGGTCTCCATTCTGCCAGAGTAGGGGATGCTAATATTAGCAGGAGTATTAATGTGTTGATGGACAGAGATCAAACTCGACCAGTAAAACCTCTCCACCTAGACCTCATGCCTCTCTTACCACCCAAGTGCACTAATGCCCTTAAACTTTCTAAATTTCAAGGTGGAGGAAAAAGAAGGTTGGGAGGAGACAAATTTTAGACATCTATGGGGAGAGAGAGAAAAAAAAATCCCTCCAACACTGTGACTTAGCAACCCTCCTCCACCTTTAAATGGCTTTTTGTTTTTGGAAATACCTTGGACTAACAGCAACGCTGTCGCCTAGCTCTTTTCTGGCGCGCTGCAGCTCCCAACTCCCCGGCTCCCCATGAGCGCTTTGGGCACCCGCACCACGCTGGCTCCTGGCGGTTCCCAAACTTAACCCGACCCAGTCTCTACCACTCCTACCCGCAGCGACCAGCACCCTTACCAACAATTCCGACACCTAACCTGCCTTTTATTATTACGCAAACGCCACTGGGTTTGTTTGATTCTTTCTTTTCTCCACCCCTTTTCTCTTTCCAGCTTAGCTGGCTTTCTGGCTAGGCGAGTTGGGGATCAGGATGCCGAAGGGAAGAGACCATAGTCTGACCTCCGCAGGGTTCTTCCACAAAGAATCGGTACAATGCTGGTCCAAGTGCCCTTGTTTGCAGCGCTCCGGCCCCTACACCCTTCGGCCGGGTGCCTTCCGTGTCAGCGGACAGGGTAGTCCCCAGTCTGCTACCCCACCTCGCACCCCCGGAGTCCTGGTTCTCCCCCGAATCTGCCCCCCGCGCCGTACCTGGCTGGCTGGTGGCACTCGAAACGCGGTTGTAGGCTCCGCCGTACTGATGGTAGGGGCTGGCGTAGCTGTATTCGGCGTAAGTTTTGGCGGGGTAACTCCCGGCCGAGCCGTTCACGCCGTGGTACTGGTACTGGTAGGGGTTGAGGGCTTTGCCGTAGGAAGCCGAGGTAGGAGAGCAGTAGCCGTGTGGGGCTCCCCCAGTGGGACTGTAGTAGTCGGAATCGGTGGCCGACGACTCGGGCAAAGTTGGCGATTCCTGAGACGGATGGTGCATGGCTGCAGACGTCTGGAACGGAGCTTGGAAGTCGCCCGATCGGATGCTGGAGACCCTTCTGTCAAACACTCCTGTCATCGCTCACAGCGGAGGCGGCTGTCCCTGCTGCGGTGGCGGAGACGGCAGCCGGACTTGGCTGTGGGGCTGCTCCGGTCTAAGCAGACATGACTGTGGGAGCGAGGGAGGAGGAGGAAGAGGAGGAGGAGAGAAGGAGGAGGCTGTGGCGGCGGCGGCGAAGAGGAGGAGGAGGAGGAGGAGGCGTGGAGCCGTGGAAGCTCTGTCTCCAGCAGGCGGACTGCTGGCTGAGGCGCAGCACAGCCTTGGTTAAATCCTTAATTGCGCGCTTACGCACAGCGGGGTGGATCGGGTTCCATTGGCCAGGGCTTCAGGAGCAGCAGCAACACCCTAACTCGTCCAACTAGTTTTAGAACAACAAAGGGGGTAGGGAGACAGGGAGGGAGGAAGACGTGCGAGCGCAGGTAAGCGTATCTAGGACGATGCTGGGAGAAGGGGGTCTCAGTGTTTTTTAGTGAATGCCAGAGACAACGCAGAAATCCCAACATCCAGTTCTGTGATGCCTGGAGACAGCATTTTCCAATCGGTGCCCTCAAAAGTGCTTGTCTGGAGGATGAGGTCTCTATGGTCTTTCCTCACTCCCTGAAAGCTCCGAGGGAGAATGGAGAATTGAACAGTGACATTCAAATTGGAAGTCCAGAGGGAAGGAATGTAAGATGAAGGTGAGAAGCAATGAAGAGCAGTATTTTTCTTTTTTTAATGGAATGCAGGGAAATCAAAGTTGTCACAGTGTATGTTTTAAAAAGATACAAACGTGTAGCAAGCACTTCTGTGGGGGCAGATGAGTATCTCTCAGCCAGGCTCCCCAGCGATGCTAAAACATGAATGCCGCCCGTTCATGACAGTTTGTCACGTCTTTTCTATGACTTTCTAAAAATTACTGTTTCACTCACAAACAACCGAATCACCCCAAAATCCTCCTTGCTGGCTTCCAGGAAGAGCTGGCAACCCCACTTCTGTTCAATATCCCCATCTATTGGAAGACACTGAAGCAGAGGGTCTGTGACTACTCAGTAGACAAAATTCCTGAAAAGGGGGATGAATCCAGGAATGACCTCTTAGGTTTCAAGTGGGGAGGTGGAGAAGGAGGGGAACAGACAGGTTCCAAGCCCTTTGGGGAAAGTCGATATTGCTCACATTTGTCCTTCCGCCTCTGTGGACCTGCCCCCCCCCCGCACCTCCTCTGCTTGCATCAAGTCTGGGTTCCACTACCCTCTCACCTTTTATTTCTTGCAAAGAAGACATCCGTGTTCACATACAGAGGGAGAAAGAGTTCAAGAATCATACGCTTGGTACGGATGGCCCAACGTTTACTTTTTATTATGTGCTACTTTTGCTCAAGTTGTGATCCAGTGTGTGTGGGGTGCTAGACATTTAACACATATGCTTGCTTCCCATTTCCACCTTCCCTGAACAGGCAGCTGTAGAAGCTGGATTCTGATTTGGATCTCTGTGCCTTCCCCTGGGGAATCCAAGGCCACAGCCCTGAGATATCCACCAATTTGGTATGGGACTGTCCACCTCCCCTCCCTTTCTCCTCTAACCAAGAGCGTCTGTTAGTTCCATCTAGTGTTAAAGTAAGCCTTACTTTGAGCATGGAGCTATCCTGCTCCATAGAAGGCCCAAGGAGAGACTCTGGAACTTGGAGCAAGAGGCCAGCCCCACCCCAAAGTCCAAACCTCAAAACAGAGCAGCAGCAAATACATCAACCCTGCCCCTGCCTCTGCCATTTGAGCACCAGAAAAAGCACAGCTATTAGCACACTTCCTTTGGGGGGAAACTTCAGTGCTGGGGCACACAAAGAAGTTGGAGTTTTGCAGCATCACCCTTTCCCCAGGGCTGTGCACCCGTGGATTTCTCCTCTGAGAGAGCCATGGAGGCAAATGCAGCTCCGCTAACCTGACCTGACTTTCTGCCATCAATTTTCCTGCAGGTATTCTCTTCTAGATTTAGGCTGTGAAGAATTTCAAGGTTTTAAGGAAATTACTGACACTACTGGGCCTTGGTCCTGGGTTCTGAAGAAATTCTCTATTCCCATCAAATCACTTTGCACATATTCTGCCTAGTTATAGGAATCTATCCCCAAAGCAACACCAGAGATAGGCCAAAGTGCCTCCTAGCAAAGGCAGTGTGTGTGTGTGTGTGTGTGTGTGTGTGTGTGTGTGTGTGTGTGTAGATCTGGGCAGCCCTATGATTATTTCCCTAGCCCCAGCATGCTGTTTAACAGAAATGTAACCTTAACGATCCAGAGAGGAATATAGTCAACACAGTTATACTAACTGAGATGTTCCTACTTATATCGCCACAGCTTGACAAGAAGGCAGGTTTCAACCAGAATGAGATTAGAAGTTGCTGAATTTGGGCAGAAGTCACAACTTCTGGATCCATTTGAATACAATGTTACAATGTTATGTTAGTTCTAGACCTGGTTAAATTTCACTTTCTACCTCCTCACTTCTGTGGTCAAAAAAGGTACAAATTATGTAAAAGACTCTCTTGACTACTCCTTTACTAGGTTGAGTCTCCCCCCACATCCTCCCCTAAAAGGGAGGAAGAGGGAGCGCTAAGCCAACAGCAGCTTCTGTCTGTCCACAGTATGCAGTCTTATTTCATTTTATTTCATAGTCATCGTGGTCCCAGAACTGCTAGCCCTGTTACGGGCCTGTAGCTTTGGACTCACACTCAGGGTTAAAAGCACTGGGTGCCTGCATTCTGTGGCCCACAACTTTTTCTAAAAATTAATTTTATTGGTACATTTAAGGTATACAATATAATGACATTCATCATTGGAAATTTTTACCTTTACATAATCCATCTTGGTTCTTATTTTCCATTTTTACAAAAAAAAATTTGTACAGCAGATTAAACTCGGGCCCTTGTGGTTGTAAGGCATGCAGCAGAGCCACTGAGACTAACCTCCACCCAGCCAGTAACTTTTGCTAGTACTGGGGGGCTGGTTCTGACAGTTAAGAACAGCCGACTGGATTTGCTTCTCAAATCCCACCAACAGATCCAGCCTAGCAGACCCAGTGGAGAAACTTCTCACAGAATCAAATGTCTCTAGAAGTATGTTCTGCTCCCCCAGGAGAAATATAGGGAGAATGTGTGTAATTTCACCTTTTAGTAGCTGAAATTTGCAAAGGGTATGTGTATGTGTGTGTGTGTGGCGGGGGAGACCCTAGGAAAAGTGCAAGTCTTTACCACGAGCGCCACCCAGTGTCCTGAGAAACAGCATGCAAATGGCAAACTTTTCAGTCACTGGTGGGTCTCTCTGGCTGGTCCCTCAGCTCCAGGTTGGAGTCCACACCAGGTGGCGGTGGCCTTCTTTCTTCCTACTTTTATGCACATTTTCCTTTTCTTCTTACATGCTTTTCCTCCCCTCCCCCAGAATCATCTTTTGGGGGGGGGTCTCTGCTCCCCCGTATGCCTTTTCATTCTTTTGTCCTCTGTTGAATCTTCTCAATTGGAGTAAGTAGAGGACATTGATGGTGACACTTTTTTCTAGACAGCAATAAGGGAATAGGCCTTTCTGTATCTTCGTGACACACTGGGGAGGGTTCTTCTCATTCCTACCCCTCTGAACCAGAAAGATAATATTACTCTGAGTTTGTGGGGAGAGTGCTATGGAAGGGGTGGGTGGAAGAGAGACTTTTGTTTGTTTTGTTTTGGTACCAGGGATTAAACTCAGGACCTTGCGCTTGTGGGAACTCAGTTCACTCCTGTGCATCTGGAAACCTATTTATTCATAGCAGTGACACCAAGATGGAATATTACATCCTTCTTGCAGGCTTGAGGCTCAGATAGTTCAATGCTCTTGAAACTGTTTAATTTATAAATTTAAGATCTCTCAAATATGATCATTTTAGTAGAGTGCAGTGACATGCACCTGTAATCCCATTACTTTGGGCAGCTGAAGCAGCAGGATCACAAGTTCTCAAAATAAAAATAAATAAATAAGGTTGTTGCTCAGTGATAGAGTACCCCCTCTGATTTGATCCCCAGTACCACAAAGTAAACAAATAAAGCAGCTTTATTTATTCACTATATTTTACACACACTACCAGATGTATACGATTCAGACAAAGGAATTTATAAAACCATACTAGTATCATATATGTACATATGATATAAACAAAGCTGGTTAAGTCATACATTCTGTGGAGGCAGATCTGTGCAAACAACAGAACTAGGGCACTAACATCATTTAATATAAGGTAATAGCCCTGAAATATTCAGTATAATGGTTGCATAAAAACATGTTTCCATGACTTGGAGTGATATCAAAGATAGGAGAGATTATTGCAAAAATAATGAAGCCTTTTGAAAATAATCACAAGTTGCTGGTCATTGGTTTTGGTAATGCAGGTGCATACCCTTTGTCTCCTAGGAGTGGGCCAGGCACTGTGGTTTGGAACTGGTGTGCAGACAGAGCTCTTCTTCTGAGTTAGTGAAACTGTTCAATTTCCCCATCTAGATTCATGCTCATATTCGGCTTAATCAACCAGGCTCAAGCCAATATTCTTCAGAGCCAGGGCTGGGGATTTGGCTCAGTGGCTCCGCCACCTGCCTCGCAAGTGTAAGGAGGATCTGAGTTCGATTCCCAGTACCAAAAAAAGAAAGAAAGGTATAAATTATCCATTTGGCAGGAGATTTAGCACAGTGGTTCCACTGCTTGCCTTGCAAGCGCAAAGGCCAGAGTTCGATCCCCTGTATGAAGAAGAGAAAGAGGAAGAGGAAGAGGAAGAAGAAGAAGAAAAGAAGAAGAAACCCCCTTGCCCTAAAAAATGTGCTTGGAATTAAAGAGCATCTCCAACAAGGTACCATGATCTCAAAGGATTCACTAGTAGGCAATTACATAAATATTTTGAATAAATTAAAACTCCCCAGAGGGGAAAAGTATTTTCCACTTCATTCCAGCCTAATAGGATTTTCCAATTTATTCCAAATTATAGTACAGATCATAGACTTCAAACATTTTGCTTTCATAATTAAGACATTAGAGTGTTTATTCATTTAACTTAAACATAGCTAGCTAAGAGAAAGGCCTTAAGTATCTGCCCATATCTCTTTTCCCTGAGATGAATTTAATATTCACAGCTGAAAACACTTCAAGTTCATCTAAGGAAGAAATAAATGGGATTATATTAT